AAAATATAATATAATTTTCAGTAATATTCTAGAAATATTTCTCTGCTTATATTAAAGACTCGTTCTACTTTATTCATTCAACTGCACGAATGTTTTTGATTGATGATTCTTTTCTGACCAACGCCTGCCTGGGCAGCAACAAAAAGAAATCACATAGTTCGGCCCATGTCAGAGTGATTCGATATGGATTGGTTTGGCCGCAGGACATTTGTGTAATAGTAGTAACATATCAGACTAGCTTAAGGATATGCGCGTGTTTTATATTGTTTCAAATGGACCACAACACTAAACACTCCATAAATAAAACCATTAGAGGCGCCGTTATGTGTGGGAAAGTAAATGAAATAATATTCAAGTGAAGCAATTTTTTGTTTATCATTTTTATGTGCGCCCTGAGTATGTGGGCGTGTGCGGCAGTGTGTGTGTGTGTGTGTGCGTGTGTGTTTGACATACGCAATCATATAAATCTTAATGTTTATAAATCACGTCGTATTGTTATGCCCCAGGGTCACTTTTTTACGATAAAGAAAACTTAAGGGAAACTACATTAAATTGTGGATCTTGAGTTATCTAGAAATGGATCAAAAATCAAGTAGAGCTACTTTACAAGAATAGACATACTGAGAACTCTTATAGACTAGTCCATAAGATGGAATTGACAGCAAAGTGGCATATCGTTAAGATTTTGAGAACTATTCAACAAATATGAACCAAAAGAAAAATATTTCTTCTGCTTAAAGTGAGAATTTTAGGTCGATTTCTCAAGAGATTGTTCTGTGGCATTTTTAATATGCAAATAATTTGATGGCCAAATGGCAGCCAACTGTGACCCAAGCCAACTGTGACAATGCCCAACGCCCTCTGCAAAAGAAACATGCGAAATCTATTCAAGAGTCAAGTTGACAACAATGCGACGAGGCCTACCGTGGCACTTGCCATGCCAAGAAGAAAGAACAGGATGTGACCATGGCATCTGGTCCTGGATCTGAATCTCTCCCCGTCGCCTTGCCATTTGAATATGACACACAGATGACAGCTGCTCCAGCTACGGCTCGGTTTGGTTTCGTACTGTTCCCGGCTCTGGGGTTGCCGCTGATGATGCATGCCCATTGTGCGCATTTGACGTTTGGTTTATTAATCAGTTTGGCCTGCGGCCAGGCCAGGCCAGGGCAGGGCAGGGCAGAGCAGAGCAGGGCCAGGGCCAAGCTCAACCAAACGCCGTCGCAATTTTCTACAAATGAATAATTTTTGTGCAACACACACAAAAAAATAAAATAAAAGGCAAAGTCAAAGAGCAGCCGCCGGAGAAGGACTGGCCACAATGCTCAGTTTATATTTTTGTGGCGCAGCTCGCATTTTAATTTCTCACAAAAGAAAAATAAAGTCAAACAAATGTCAGTCGCGTGTTAATCAACTGTAAATAAATGGCGCAAAGATTAGAGAGAAATGCAAAAAAAGGCCCGTTAACGAGGCAGCACATGGAGTAGACTAGCAGATGTCCTGTAATGCAGGCTGAATTGAGACAGGCTCAAGCTCGATTCTTTTCCTTCGACAAGTTTGAACCTTTTCAATAGACCATTCCATTTAATGGTTAATTTCTTCTTAGATATTTAATAGTCTATATAATTCATTTAATTT